GTGTTACTATAGTAACATACATGTTACTATACTCATATTACTCCAACAGTCAATAATTCAACATAGATTGCACAAACTCACCCAGCATAGACTGTTGAAAAAAAAACATTTACAATTTGCTTCCTTCATCAGTATTTCTCCCCAACAATTAATTACCTGAGTAATAACACGACTTTGTTAAATAGAAATATTCAAGTATTTCATAATTTGCTTAAATTTTCAAGACGAATGGTACATTATATTATTGTGCAGTTCTTCCCCATCCATGAATTTCAACACATCTTCAACATCAATGATATTTTCATACTTTTTTTCACTCCATAAAGTTGTCTTTTTCATAAAAAACAGTACATGTTAATAAAATATGGTATAAACAGTAATATACATAATGTGTTTCATAATGGGGCATTCAGTTACTTACTTTCTTCCCCCAGCCTTATGCATTTGAACCAATTTGTCGTACACATCCGGTGCTAATTTCTTATAGGCTTTCCTTCTTTAATTTTTAACTCTCTTACTTTCTGGCTTCTCACTTGGAATTATAATGTCCAAATCATCAACATTAATGCAGCTATCTGGTATCTTCTCATTCCCTTTAATTTTGTCGCCTTGATCATGGATTTTAACTTGTTCCAATCTTTTCTTTTCTCCCTATTTTTTCCTACTATACTCAAAATCGTCAACTCTCTTTCTTTTTCTTTCTTTCTATTTGATTTTTCTCACAATCGATGTTTGTTCTGCACCTTCGATAGGCTGAGATTTTGGTGGAGTCCGTGGGTACTTTTTAGTAATGACATGCACAACCATATCAGCGACAACATCATGCAGAGAATTATTCTCTTCTTTTAATTCGGACACCTTTAATGTCAGTGTCTTAATTTGATCTTCTTGTGTTTCTTTGTTTTTCTCCAAGAGATCAACTAAAACTTTCAATTTGAAATTTGGTTGTCCCTGCCAACTAGTTTCATTGCATATTTTTCAATCTCTTTCAAATCATCTTCCCTTTGGTTGCTCCCAATATTTTTTATGACCATTCGAAGTGCTTCGTTCTCCACTGTCAGCATTTGGATAGTAAATTTTTGTACCTCATTTTCAACCATAAATCTAGATGAACCTTCATTATCATGGGAAGGTTGTTGTAACTTTTCATCTCGTGTTACCACTTCAGTTGGTTTCATAAATGCAGATTCTCAGGTGACCACATCAAGAAATGCATCAAACGGTTGGACGTTTTGAGTCTCCTTTTGGGCAAGATGATCATTTATAGGAACATGTACTGCATCATCACTTCCATGAATATCTTCATTAACCATAGTATGATCATCAACAACTAGATTAGGTTCATCACTTGCATATTCCATTTTTGAATTTAAAGCACTCTTATTGGCAACAATGCTTTGTTGTAGAACCTCCAAACTAGCCGACACATTCTTGGAATTTTTTCGAATCACTTTCATTAAGTTCTTCTCACCAATTGTTTTCTTTAGTTTTCTTCGGAAGACTTGACAACATCATTAGTAACGTTAAAAAATTGAATCTAATGACAATGAATGACACAATCATAGCCATAATAACATCCATTTTTCTACAGTAACACTCATTTTCATGCTAATATCAACAATAGTAACATCAATTTGATATAATACCATTGATGACAAATTTAACATTGTCATGCAATTAAGCAATTGTCAAAAATAATTAAATACGAAAAAAAAATATTTAAATAATACCTGATCAGCTGCTATGTTGGACAGTGTGCTTTGTGAGAGAGCCATCCAAAGTTTTCTTAAGTCCCATTTCATCCACCGTGGGAATGCATCCACCTTGTCGGCCACAATAAGAGACGTGTGTTTACATATCCTATACTACAATTTAGATTTAGTTACATTATATAGAATAGATAGTGTTTAATTAAAAAATATTAAAAAATCAAATAAAACAACAATCTAAAACTTACTGGTAAAAGTAGTACACAACAGGTTACTGCACTTAGTGTTTCAAACTTCAACCGTATGAAATTCATCATTGCATCAATTGTTGCTTGAGACCAGTCGTATTTTTTTATTTCATCCAGATTTTCTATGTACGACACATATCCTCATCCAATCGTTTGCCCCATATTTATAATTAGTAGTGTCACTAAGACATACAAAGAGAACAATCTAGCAAAATCTTCACAGTCATCTCTACCAACACCCGTTGCTGCCTCCTCCAACCTGTTTTTTATAATTGGTGCATTTAACCTATTGGTGTTACTGAATCTCCTCCTAACAAATGGTGAATTTTTTTTTGTACTTTGGGGGGAAAGAATTGGATCGACACCATCTTCTATACCCAAAATGAGTGTTACATCAATCTTCCGTATCTTCAAACCTTTTCCACCAATACAGAATCTTGATGTTTCACCATCAAACATTGTAATTATGTCTACAATACTCTTGTCATTCTTTTTGAACCATTCTTTATCCACTTCAGTTGCTGATATTGTGTTAAACAGATACCAAAATGGTGTTTTCTTTAGTTGTTTTCTGTGAACATCTCTGATGTTTAGTCCAGTTATAGCCATCACCAATGGAAGCAAATTAGACCTGAATTGGTGAAATGAAGCTGCTTTTGGAGCAATAGATTTACCTTTTTTTGCCATCAACCTATAACATGACATTTGAAATATCAATGGATGAACAACATACAAGAACATTAACTTAGTAACATGATCATAGTAACACTAACTAATAAATTGAATCCTAACAATATATTCTTAGTAATATCAAACAAACACAATTCAGTAACTTCATTTTTCAATATACGATTGATTCCATTGCAAATTCATTGAGTTCCCATTTTACATTTAAAATCAAACAACAACCCTTGCACTCTTTACAAACAACATATGTTGCATTAAAAATTAAAAATCACAAAGGGTTTGATCAGTAACATGTTTACAATAACACCAAGTTATTAGTAACGTCCACAGTACCTAAGCACATCCATATATTGAAAATATGAAATCATTTTTCCAATTATCACATAGTAACCTGAAAAGTTTCAATGTACTCTTGAACCAATGATTTTTGAATTTCTTGAACAATGAAGAAAGCAACAAAAAATTTACACATCTAATTATATAACACATTGATTAAGTAACAATAACATGAATAGCTCCATCCCCAAGATCATATTGTGCACAGTAACATTGAATTTCGTAAAATTGATAGTAAAAAAATAATTCAAAAATTGATGTTACTGTCATAAACTAATGGTAACACAATGTTAATGGTTGATTTAGGACACTCAATACATATCAATAACATCAATATATCAACATTAAGATAATAAATTTTGAAAAGTGTTGTCACATTAACATTAGAAATTTCAAAGAAACCACACCAATCATTTTCAAATGTATAACACAATAAAAAAAATAAAATCATAATACCCAACTCTTTTATATAGTAACAAGAACTCACAATTTTATTTTCAAAAAAAAAATAAAAAATTTTGACAGTATGAACGATATAGGGTGTAAATGTTGTTTTAAAATCCTAAAACAAACATCAAAGTTCATGTAAAATCACATTCCTCTCAAAATTTTAAAGAATCCCAAAGCTTTTGTGAAGATTTCAAGAATTATGAGACCAATTGTAGCTTTTCGCCAATGAAACTTAAAGAGTAAAATTGATTTTCGGTTTTATTGTTTGAAACCAGATTAAAATTTATTCGGTTTGGGTAATGGCGGTATATGTTTTCGGAGAAGGAGAATGAGAAAGATTTGAGGAATTTGTTGAATTCGTAGCCTAGAGTGAAGGGGAAGTTATTGGGTTCATAGACGACAACGAAAGGATTCTCTGTCTTGTAAACAAACGGCAAGTTACACGCCGTTTGAGATTTTTAATAAATAAGGGTATAATAGTAAAAGTCGTAATAAGTGGACTTCAAACCAAATAAATTTTTTTACATGACTTATTTTCAATCAAGTCCATCTAGGGGGACCCGCCTCCAAATTTTCCTAAATTGTATTTATATCCCTGAGATTTGTCATCAAGTCAGTTAGATCCCTTAGGTATAAAAAATATAATGTCAGAAAAAAAGAAGTATGACTCAATCCAACGACCATTATCTTTTTTCCAGCTCATCCTCAATCCAACGGCCACATTGAGGTGAAGAGAAGTACTTATTGATTTCCAGCTCAAAAATTGTTTCCCATTGTTTGAGATTATAACTCTGAGAATTTTAAAATGACAAACGATTGATTTCCATACAAAGTATTTTTATTTTTTGTTTGGTGAATGTCACAAGGTACTCATCGCTTTGTGAGGTAATCGATAGCAATTATTGCAAACTTACAATGACCTACACCTATGGAAAAAGGTCTACAATGTCGATTCTCTATTGCTGGAAAGGGCAAGAGCACAAGACCGGGATGAGTTATTCTAGTGGGGTATCTAGGAATGTTAGAGTGAATTTGGTTCGCATTGCACTTCTTGATTAGGTTATGTCGATTTTCCACTAGAAGGGCCAAGAGCTCAAGAGCGGGATGAGATGTTCTGGTGGGGCATCTTGAAATGTTAGAGTAGATTGACACACTTTGTATGTGATGTTGATTTTTCATTGTTACAAAAGCTAAAAACTAAATATCAGAATAAACTGTTCTGGTGAGATATCTAAAAATGTTGAAGTAGATTTAGCTTGCCTTGCAGTTCCTAACTAGGCCAGCTAAATCCTTCGTGATGGAAGGCTAGAAATAACATTGCCTAAAGATTTGTATGCCATGTCCTAAACTGCTAAAGTCGTCGAGAAAATGAAAAATGAAAAGAAAAAAGAAAAAGGTGGAGCCAATCACCACCATTGGGCTCTAATGGGCAAACCCGGATGGGCCGGATCAAAGCCCTTTATATAATCCCACGCCCAGTCGCTAATCTACATTTCCCAGCGCCCAACTTTCGAAAAAAGATAAGAAAAGATAGCGAACTTCAGAACCACAAGTAAGGTTCTCTCTCTCTCACACACACACACACACACACACACACACACACACACGCACCCCACTGGCTCCGGCACCGGCAACTTCTCCTAAAGCCTAAGTCTCCGAAACTGTATCTTTCTTTAACCACACACCCTCCTCCCATGGTATCACTACTCTCTCATTCCACATCCATTCACTTCACATCTCATCTTTTCTTCAACTCCCAACTCTGCCAGCATGCACATCCTTCTCAATTCAAATTTCGACCTCGCCGGACCAATCTTTCTGTAAACTCACTCGAAAAGAACAGTTCTTTTTCCTCAAACACTCAAAACCAACCCCAAGAACCCCCAAGAACGTTGTTCCCAGGAGGGTTTAAGCGGCCCGAGATCAAAGTACCCAATATTGTACTCCAATTGAGTTCGGAAGATGTACTAAGTGACAAGAGTGCTTTGGATGTGATTGACGGGGCGGTTAAGAATCGAGTCGGGATAGTGGTGCTCAATGGTGGTGAAGGAAGTGGTGGGAAGTTGTACGAAGCTGCTTGTTTGTTGAAGTCGGTGATTAGGGACCGGGCGTACTTGATGATTGCCGAGCGTGTTGATATTGCCGCCGCGGTTAATGCCAGTGGGGTTGTGCTTTCCGATCAAGGTGATACTCATGTGCTTAGTATATGTTAATTAGATGTCTTTTATCCTTAGAGAGCATCTCCTACCTTTACTCAAATCTTGACTCAAATTTAAATTTAAATAAAAATAGATTAAAAAAAAAGCTCCAACTCTTACTCAAACTCATACCAAGTGATCATACCTAATGAAAAGAGACTTCCAATGGTTCAATTTATTCTCCTTTAACCATTCAGTAGTTATATTTTGAGCTCCTTTAAATTTGAGGTTGTCCATTGGATCCCTTTGTATTAAATTGAGCTTTTTACTCAAATGTTGACTCAAATTTGAGTGAAGGTTGGAGATAATTCATGAATTGTGAGAAACTTGTTTCTATCATGCTTTTTTCCACGGTGTGGAGCTTGAATTTTGTGTCACCTATTGGCATGTTATGCCTATGATTACGTACGTTGCTTGGAAGATAAATGCTTTTGAATGTAAGCTCCGAGTTATGGAGGATCATACCTTTTGATTCATCAATTGCATGGGCTGAATTTTGCTGACAGCTAATCCCAATGATCCCAACATTTGGATTGTCACATAGGCTGAATTTTGCTGACAGCCAATCCCAAAGATCCCAGCATTTGGATTGTCTTTTTCATAGTAGCATCTGTTATAGTATCAGACAATGGTTTTTGTCACTTAATTCACTTTCAAAGCAGAATTTGTGTATTTAGAGTATTCAACTTGAATCTCTTTCATTTTGTGGGTAATCTGGTTGTCCCTTCTTTCCACAGGTCTCCCTGCCATTGTGGCGAGGAATGCAATGATGGACTCCAAATCTGAAGCAATAGTTCTTCCATTAGTTGCAAGAGATGTGCAGACTTTGAATGCTGCTGTAAATGCATCTAATTTTGAAGGTGCTGATTTTCTTATATATGGTATTGATGGAGAGAGGGATCATAAGGAACTGGTGAGCTCTGTATTCGAGCATGTGAAAATTCCAATTTTCATCATGAGCAACACGTGTGGAGTTGAGAAATTGTTTAATGAAGGATCACAATTACTCAAATCAGGGGCTAGTGGTTTAGTTATTTCATTGGAAGAGTTGAAGTCCTTTGGTGATGATGATCTGAGCAGATTGTTTTACAGTATTTATGTACCAAAGGAGCCAAAACATGAAAAAGTGCAAAGTTCTCAAAAAATCTGGACATTGGACACAGATAATGGATTTCCAGGGAAAAAGAGGGTGGCCGGCTTTACTGAACTGGAGGATAGAGAACAACAGATCATAGAAAAAGAGAGATCGGTATTGCTTGAAGCGATAAATGTCATCCAGAGAGCTGCACCACTGGTGATCTTTTAACATTAACGTTTGGTAGCTGAAGTTGTTCTTCAGACAATTCTATCTTCTTCAATTGTTTCCTTGCTTATGCTTATGTCGAGTTTTATTGACCTTGAATGGCAGATGGAGGAAGTCTCACTTCTCATTGATGCTGTTTCTCAACTTGATGAGCCATTTTCACTGGTTATAGTGGTAATTGTGTGCTGAACTTCAACAAATACTGGTTCCACAGATATACGTGGGTATTAGCTCTGAATTTCAAATAAAAACTTTATCTTCTATTTCATTTCATCTAAACTTCTGAAATTATCTTGTTTTCCATGCATTATTTAGTATAAAAATGTTCTAAATGCTTGCCATCGATGTTTTATGGAGTCTTTGGAAGGTGTATTTGATCAGGCTCAGCAGAAATTGTGGTGTAGAGTTCGTTTTTTCTATGACAATATTGAAGTTCATCTGCTGAAATAAAGCTAGTGTTATGCTTTTTGTGCATTGAAATAAGCCCACCACTTTGATACCTCAATTTATTCTTGATTGAAGGAGAATTGAATTGTTATTGTTTTGTCAAATACATGTTTCAAAAGAAACATGTAGTAAATCACCGGCAAAACTGGTATTTTTGTTGTACCGAATAAAAGTAGTAAAAGTATTGGCCAATACCGATATGAGTCGACCGAGTTGTATCTGACTTGACACCTTTGGAGACGATTTCGTTACGTTACATGATACGTATAAACCCCGAGTCTCGTGAGACTCGGCTGAGTCGTCTGAGTTGTATCCAAGTCAATCCTGAGTCATCGTCACCAAATCGGCCAATACGGTTCCGACGCCGCGTATCTCTCATCATGTTCAACATTTTTTTAGGTTATATAGCTGATACAGTGCCGCGAAGCTGCGACCGATGTGTTTCAAAGCCCTTCGAGTCGATGACTGATACCGTGACCTTAAACCATGGTCAAATAATTAAGATTGATGAGTGTTCTTAACTTAAGAAAGTCTAGTCAATTGAATTGCTTTATTGAAAAAAAAAAAAAAACAAGGAAGAGCCTTAAAGGCTTATCTGAATTATATATATCCAAAATATACGCTTAAATGCACCTTAAGCATGCCTAAACAGAGGCCTTAAAGAGAACCTATAACACCAAAAAACCACGGATCCTGTCTCCCATCTTCTTAATGGAGCCATAGACCTTGATGGCGACAGCCTACATGGCGTGTACTGCTTGATCTATCAGATGGATGATAGTACCCCAGGGAAAGGGGGATTGGATTTTCTTCATGATTGGACTCTCAGAATATGGAAAAAAATTCCACTTGGTGATGGGACATCTGGTTGCATGAAAAAGCATTTGGGAAATGGATGACTTACCAACCAAGATAGTATTCTCAAAAGGATAAGTCCCCGAAGAGGCAGTTAGCTCACATTGAAAAGGCTACATTTCCCTTTTGTCCTTTTGACTTTATTGCACTTAAATGGAATGTCCTTTTTTTCGGTCGTAAAGATCGCCGATCATGGAAATAGCTTTGCTGTTGCTCGGCGAAAAGAAAATAGCACTCATGCTTAAATTGATAGTTGTGGCGATTGGAACAAGTTTTAAGTCCAATATTATTGGTGTTATCTTGCACTTAAATTTCTGTGAAACACAAAAGTTTGATATGAATTATCCCTAGTTGCGATGGGTTAGCGGGAGAAGCCTCTTTATTTCTAGGCAGGTTGATGATGTGATGTATTCTTTTGAGTAAGTTGTTGAGTTGTACACTAAGAGGCACCAAATAATCAGATTATTTTGTGAACGAAAAGTATATTGTTTCGGCATCATGGTTTCAACTACCTGGGTAATTTTTTTCTCTTTCCTACTCCCCGACTCCTCTGTTCCCCTGTTTTCTGGATTTAATTTGGAATTGTTTATTATAATCATTTGGTTTTGCAATGGAACATTGTTTTGCTATCCCAGCTTGATGAAATTACCTGCATGCAAGTATACAGCTAAAGGGTCAATATTTAAGATCTCCCAATAGGTTAAGTGGTTAAAAACATTTCTCATGCTTGATCAAACTTAGAACTTTTTATAAGTGTTTTTGGTGCACAGGAAAATTGTTGTCTATTATGGGAACATTGAATCTTGTTCAAGATTACTTTGTGATTTATGTTCCATGCTTTTTGAGAAAATTGCTTTTTAAGGTACGTTTGCAATTTTGTTTTTCATTTCTTTCATGGGTTTTACACTTCTTGTGTTACCAGGGTGAATTCAACTCTGGCAAATCAACTGTGATCAATGCTCTTCTTGGCAAAAAGTACCTTAAAGATGGGGTGGTTCCTACAACAAATGAAATAACTTTTTTACGCTATTCTGAGTTGAATCCCAAGGAGCAACAGTATTGCGAAAGGCATCCAGATGGACAATATATATGCTACCTACCTGCTCAAATTCTTAAAGAAGTGAGTTGCTTCAAAATTTTCTACATTTTACCCTTGATATTAGTTAAAATACTGTTCCCCGCCAAAAAAAAAAAAAAAAAAAGGGAAGAAGAAGAGGAATTGCACAAACACTCGGATCCTGTTGCATGCTTATGATAGCTTATTTTAGGACAGTTCTGCTGATGAGAATCACTAAGGGATTAGCTGGAGCCTCAGGTCGAAGATTAGATTTTGGGATTCCTTTAATACTTAATTACTATTTTTATAATTTTAGGTTATTGCTAGTTTTGTTACTTTAAGACATCCTATTAATATTGGGCTTATTGTATTGGAGTTCTAGTATTGGCATTCGAATAGTGGAAGATATTGGATCTCCCTCGCCTCTCTGTCATCTCTTTCCCTCTCTCCCTCTTCTACTCTCTTCTTTCTCTGCTCTTTTTTTTTTCTTCTCCTCTAGTTCCTACACTTTGCCTATTTCTCTTCTTCTTTCCTCTCTTTTTCCTTTCTATTCTTCTTTTTCTCTCTTAGTCTCTTCCCTATTGTCCTGCATTAGATTCTCTTATAGAATATGCTTACTTTTCATTCCCTTTTATATGAGGCTGCTCACAAGTACACCTTAACACCAAATTGTGTGGAGTTAATAATTTATGGAATGCTGGAAAGCATGTGTGTACTGCATTGTTGGACAATAATTCAGTATTCGTGTGCCACAGATTGCAAATGGTGTATTGATATTAATTGGAAACAAAACTCATTTTAATTTGAGAAATCAATTCTTGTTTTTATTATGCTAGTATCAGTATATGCTAGTATCAGTATCATCGTCATTATTAGATTTTTGACTGTAAGATAACAATAATTCAGCTTATTAATTTTGCAAGGACACAATTATGTTAGGATTAAATCAGTTGAAAGTTGAAATTGATTACAGAGACAGGTATTTTATGCTCTGAGAGTACTAACCGTTGGTTGTGTCACAGGACTTGATCTGAATACTACATGCACCAAAAGGAGAATGTGACAAGCCATAAATTGAGGATTACTAGAACTGAATGTGTTGCATTGGTTTGGAACTTGATACAATGGACAACAATGAGGAAAATGGAAAAATGAAAAATGAAAAATAAACTTGTTGAGCAACATACTTACTTCTAAAGGAATGCATATACAATGTTGATTTCTTCTGATTCATTTTCCGTGTCTTCTACGCGAATAGCTGCTCTGAAACTTGACCCGAAACTACCCTATTCTTTGGAAAGATAATTGCCTTGCTCAGGGAATTTAATTTGTTTTAATATTTTTTTGAAGCAGATGATTATTGTTGATACACCTGGAACGAATGTGATTCTTCAGAGGCAACAACGTCTGACTGAGGAATTTGTGCCTCGTGCAGATTTGCTTCTTTTTGTAATTTCTGCAGATCGCCCATTGACTGAAAGTGAGGTATGATCTAACGGCCACTATTCAGAGTTCTTGTAGTTAAAAGGACAATGTATTGTCAAGAAACTGACCATGCGATCTTAATAATAAATTAGGAGTCTCTGATGCTTGGTAATCATGTTGTGCTGTTGCTTTAATTCTCAATTTTAAAGTTTATGAACTGCTTGAGGACCTATATTCATTCCTAACCAAGTGTTATTATTCAATTAATGTTCATAAGTCTGTATCTAGAACTGCTCTTTGGGGTTTAATAACTTGATCATGTCCAAGGATTGAAATTTCGTTTCAAACTACCGTTACGGTCGGCTAAAAAACGGAAACGTTTCGGAAACGCAAAAAAAATATAGAAACGCTTGGAAACACAAATACAATCCATTAATTTATAAAGATAAGCTAAATAATTGATTAATTCAACATATTTATTGGGTTAACATCTATTTATACAAGAATAAATTTAAATTGGAGGAAAAAAAAGGCTTGATATGAGGCGAAAATCACTTAAATTAGTTTCAAACGTTTAATTTTTATCAAATAAACACTTTTTTACATAATAATAAGGTCTCATGATATACATGAAATGTTAATGAAGACATACTTACATGGCTACAGCCAAACTATAAAAGCCGAAGCCTGCACATTTCAACCACACAAACAAACCACCGATAGACAGAGAGAAGGGCGAGAGGTGACATCTGGCGATCGTGATGCCATCGTGAGAGAGAGAGAGAGAGAGAGAGAGAGAGAGAGAGAGAGAGAGAGAGAGAGAGAGAGAGAAGAAGAAGAAGAAGATGGACATACCTGTGGACCGGTGGTTGCTCGTGGTCGCAACGATGAAGACAGCATAACTCCGAAGCCCTAAATCTGCGTGGATAATGTTGGATCTGCTCAAATCTGGAGTTAAGGAGGTAAGTTACAGGAACTCTCCTTCAATTTCTGGTTCGTTGGTGCCTTTCTCTCCCTCTTCTCTGTTTTTTATTTTTTGCTTAGGGTTGTGAACGATTTCTGAGCAATCATGAGATTTCTGAGTAGGAATCTGGTTTCTGCTTTTTTTTTGACTTGGAGCTTCGAACGAATCTTTCTGATTGAGCCTCTCTCTTTTTCCTTTTGGCCTAGAGTGAATCGAATATATCACTGTATCACTGTTTTGTCCGAAACGGTCCAAAACAGTGCCGTTTTGACCGAAACACTGGAATTATGTGTTCCAACCACTGTTTTGTGTCGTAGTGTAGAAATTCCGAAACGTTTCGGATGTTTCGGACGTGTCGACATAAAATTTAGATCCTTGATCATGTCTACCTTTCGGTTGTGGACGAAACTCGTCAAAAAGAAATATGTATTGAGAATGAGAACAGAGAAATTGTGAGACCAGGAATCAGGGATATGTACTCTATGGAAGCTATACTGAATTGAATAAGCCGTGTGTGCGCGCGTATCATTTATATATCTTTCCAATGGAGGCAACGGCAGCAGTGGTGGAGGTAACGGCGATGGCCGCAATGCTACTGCTGCAGTGGCATCGGTATAGAGATGGTGACACTGTCTGTGATGGTGGCGGAGGCAACAATGGTGGATGTGGTGGTGAGGTCATCAGCGGAGAATGGAGAACAGATGGGCAGCGGCGATATTTGTCAATTTTGTCCAGGGTATTTTGGTCTTCTAAAGCCTTAATTCCCCCCACTTGGTTCTTCCCACCAACCCAAAATGGGATTTAATTCTCATACAAGGGTTGATAATTTGACGTTGGGGTGGGTCCGGGATTAGAAGTTTTGAATAACACCTAGCCCTCTTTGTGCACCCAAACATAGGATATGTGGGACTGAGACTATGTCTAGTCTAATCCCATGGAGTAATCCTGCTTACGAACATGCCCTTGTAGTGTGCTGCCAAATGTTTGATGGTAATGCAGCAGGTATTGAAATAGGTAATTTTAGTAGCCAATTCTGGATTGAAGGAGATGAAATATACCTCTCAACTTACTCGTAACATGTTTCTAATTAGTGTTAGTGAGAATGCTTTGCTGCTTTGATCATGTGCTTGGATTTTGTTATAAATTCTGAAAATTGACTTTCTTCTTCCTAGCAATATAGCTTAGTGGTGGTAAAATCATGATTTTCATTGATTGACTCTGGTCACTGGTATTCTCAAGTTGCACTTATTTTCCCTATTATACTATAACTTGTATCTGGAGATTTCTGGCCTAGAGATATACATTTGTGTTAAATGTCTCTCTCAACCCCTAGCTCCTCTCTGCATACATTTTTTGTGTATTGGAACTTTTTGATGGTACCAATACAAGGGCATGTTAGGACATCTTTCTAGTTTCAGTGCTGTTACCTTGAGATATGTCACTCCCCTTACAGGAGCATGTTATGCACTACCCTCATTTCAATCATCCAGTGAATGCATTGTTTTATTGGCTTAAATGTTTGTTTTGGCTTTACTTGTGGTGCTTTCAGGTTGCTTTCCTAGGTTACACACAGCAGTGGAGGAAAAAAGTCGTATTTGTGCTGAATAAAGCTGACCTTTATCGGAATGCCAGTGAGGTTCGATATGTATTTCTCTTAAAGTTTGGCTGTTACTATTAGTTAAAATATATATTGATGCACTAGGAACTAATAAGAGGCAGTGAGTGACCTTATGCTTGAGCTTCGGAAGTTTAATGTATGTGTAAATTAATGCAGCTTGAGGAAGCTATTGCATTTGTCCAGGAAAATGCACAGAAGCTTATGAAAACTGAACATGTCACATTATATCCCATATCTGCACGCTGTGCTCTTGAAGCAAAACTTTCGACTTCCTCTAACAGTCTAAAAGATTATGAAGAATCGTCCATGGATAATTCCCATTGGAAAATTAGTAGCTTCTATGAACTTGAGAAGTTCTTGTATAGCTTTTTAGATGGGTCGACAAGTATGGGAATTGAAAGAATGAAGCTTAAGCTTGAAACACCTGTTGGGATTGCAGAGCAACTGCTGTCTGCTTGTCAAAAGCTTGTGAGACAAGAGTGCCAGCAAGCCAAGCAGGACTTCACAGCAGTGAATGAATTAGTTATTAGTGTACAAGAGTATGCATTGAAGATGGAAAGAGAGAGCATTTCTTGGAAGAAACAAGCTTTGTCAATGGTATGTTATTGTGAATTAGTTTACTGTGAGCCAGATCCCAACCATTAGTCTATAACATGGAGCATTTATTTGAAAATGCAGATTGATACTACACAAGCACGTATTGTCAAGCTTATAGAATCAACTCTAAGATTATCAAACCTTGACCTTGCCACTTCATATGTTTTCAAAGGAGAGAAATCTGCTTCGATGCCGGTCGCCTCAAGTATTCGCAATGACATCATCAATCCTGTACTCTCTGAAGCGCAAGTAGGTGCATGCTATAATTTTTTGTTACATTGGTTTCTCATCAAGTCACGTGTTTGTAGTTCTCTACTAGAAGTGTGCAGTAACAAGCTCATATACACTTCTTTTATTTTGTTCCCATAATTTCTGTATAACGTGGTTACTGAAATAGCTGCCTATTTCACTAACATCTAGCCAAGAAATGATCAGGGACAGTTGCTTATTCATACCTTTTAGTCTATGTAATATTTATTGTTTCATTTTAACTCAAGAAGCTGTAACAGTTAAGGAAGTTACTACTTGATACAAGCTACCTTTTTTCTCTCTCATGCTTATTGTGTATTTGAATTTTGTCTATAATTTGTCTCTTTTTTTTTTCCCTTTCCCCCATCTCCAAACAATATGAAACTGGTTGACAGTTTAGTGTGTTTTAGCATCTTAAGGGCTATGATTTTTGTTCAGGTTACAGCATGGACTACATTGTGATGATTTTACTGTACCTTTCTCATTTGCTTATAATGTTCCTCGACATACTTTGTACCAGATATCCTTTGGAACTGAAAAGATCTGACTTTCAGTTATTTTTATGAATATTGTCCTGATGTGTAGAAACTACTGGGTGAATATATGACATGGTTACAATCAAATAATGCTCGTGAAGGAAGACTGTATAAGGAATTGTTTGAGAAAAGATGGCCTTCATTTATTGATCCACAAAAGCAGGCACAACTGGAGACTAGTGAGTTGCTGGGGAGAAAGTATGAACTGAGCATAAAAATAATAGAGAACTTCAGTGCTCCGGCTGCTTCCAAACTGTTTGAGCAAGAAATTCGTGAAGTGGTAAGTCTGGGGATTGTAATGTGAATAAACAATAGTTATTATTCTTGAACAAGGCCTCACCACTACTTTCTGTTTCCATAGTGTAAAAAAGATTTGTGGTTTCAAAATTCTCATTTTGAATGAAGCATAAATGTTTTGGGGAAATCAATTTCTCTCTTTGATTATTTTGGCTTAGATCTTTATAAGAAAAGTGAAACAATGTTTCTCTTGAAGGTTGGTAAAATATATTTGTTTCGATAGAGTAGCGCATACACAATGTTTGCAGCATCTTTGAGAATCCAAGTTAAAACATCTTTTGTTAGGCTTACCAGATTGAACCAAGTAATGACACTTGATTCAATTGATTCTCCTTTGGCACATTGCTATTTCTTGAGTTTGGGTGTTACACTAACCAAGAGGCAACCCTAAATGCTTTTTCCTGTATTCGCTAGAAAATCCATTTCAATAACTTTTTGAAGTCTGCTGGTTTTGTTAGTACAGGAATGTGATCCTAACAGCCACGCTGAAGTTCTTTTAGAGTACAACTTTGAAGGATAATAGTTTCTGATAAATGATGTAGTAATTTTTGAACTCTAGTTGCCTTTTTTTGTGTTTCATATTATAACCTCAAATCAATTGTAACAATATACTCGTGGAAGAATAATATTTTTCAACTTCAATAATAACCACTTCTAACTTAAGTCTAATAGTCGGGTATTACCAGCTCCTTTACTGAATTATTTCAATTGTTAAGTACTTATGCTGCGCTATGGCTCCAAGCAGACATGAAAAATAAATTAAAATCTTCTCGATTATACTGGTTGAGGTTGTAGTGGCTGTTGACTAGCATTGCAAGTGCAACTTATCAAAAAATAACATCCACATGACCTAGCCTTCAAAAAAGAATCAAGTCAATTGTTTTCATCTTTTTCTGCTACTTTTTTGTTGGATTAAAAAATCCATAAAGTTACCACAAAAATTATGACATAAACTAGAGGTGGATCTTCCTTGAAGTTGTTTCACATTCTCCAAAGTGTGAATAGTTTGGAGGTAACTTTACTTGGTGTTCGAAAAGGATAAGCTAGCTTGATACTAATGGATTACTCTGTCTGTACATATTTTCAGTTCTTGGGAACTTTTGGTGGTCTAGGAGCAGCTGGTTTATCTGCATCACTTCTAACTTCTGTGCTACCAACAACCTTGGAAGATCTTCTTGCTCTCGGTCTTTGTTCTGCTGGCGGGTAGTGTATCATTTCTCTTGATTTATGCTTGCAATTGTAATTTTTTTTGATCCTATTTCTGAAGCCTGCCCACCCTCCTTCTTCCCCCTCTCCTTCTGGATATTTTGAAAGAAAGTTCTTCAACTTCATGATTGCATTTGCCCACCTTTTTATGTCTATCCTAACCTGCATTGCACAAGTGGTCACAACTCAACTAAGTTGCAATGATGTAGCTCAAAATTTCTTTGGTGACATCTCATGGACTGCCTATCCGGCCAGTAATGCCTAGGGCATTGTGGTGGATATGTTAATAAGTTAATCAAACCATGAGCTTTTTTGTTTTTCTGTAAGAGGTGTCAATCAAAACATGAATACCAATGGTATAGTCCATGCGAAAATAAATTTGGTTAGCAATTTAATCTGGGGGAATATGACAGTATGGGTTTATGTTTATTTAGATTATTCACTTAGAATGCGTGGGGATAATTGTGACTGTGAACAGAGTTCTATATTGGCCAGTGGAAAATGATGAATATTACTTTATTCTTTGAGGTGTATAAATTTTATTTTCCATGGAACCTGTTTTAAGGTGACTAATGATGTTAATTCTTTTCAATATAAATTGAACTTTTGATGTGCTCTGTTCTTTGCTATATTTACAAATCAATTTACATTTGAGATAAGAGAAGTTCATTATAATCTGCAACTGCTATGGAATTTGACGCAACTGACTTGCAAAGGATTATTTTAGACTTTACAAAAACATTCCCACCAGTGACAAGTGACTCACTGCCTAATATGAGTAAAAAGCTCTGTGTGCACAGCAGCATAATATTAATGTGCCGACTAGCAGTTTATTTATTGTTCTTTGATATGAAAAATGTATGCATATTTTGCCTATATTGCTACTGTTTTGTATGATAGTACGCTCGTTTATGTGCTTGAATTGTTTCTTTTCTAATGTTTTATGGTTCATTCTTAAAATCTATTTGCATAACATTGTATATTGATTGAATCTCTTTTTGCTCGATAGTTTGTTAGCAGTTTCAAATTTCCCAGCCCGTAGGCAGAAGGTCGTGGATAAAGTTAAAAGGATTGCTGATGCATTGGCATGTGAACTTGAAGAGGCGATGCAGAAGGACCTGTTGGAGACGACTGAGAATCTGGAAAACTTTGTGAAACTCATCGGCAAACCGTATCAAGATTTAATGCAAAATAGACTGGATAAACTTTTGGAGACCGAAGATGAATTAACAAAAGCTGAGGAAAAGCTTAGAACATTACGGATTGAAATTCAAAATCTTCACATATCCTGATGGTATGACACACTTCCATTGTCATTTGTGACCTTCATTTCTTTCTGGAGTGGATGCTAAAGAGGAGGTGAGATGTTGTGTCACTACTATACTTTTTAGTTTCCTTGATGTATAATAAATATCTTTCAGAGTAGGGTGTCTCTGAAAATTTTCTTCAGATATTAAAGCTTTTTTCGATCGGTTTGCGAGTTTTATATCCATCCCAAGTTTTTGTTGTGGACACTAGGACGATTCTCGGTTATCGAAGAAAATACTATTACTAATGATAGTAATGGAATTAAGGATCATAATAGTAATGCCAACAATGATAACCATGTCTACAAGTAGAGATTCGATTGAAATGCAAGGACAATAAAGCTAAGCTTTAACCAACATGTTTTCATAGACCCTTTTTTTTGGTAAAGCTTAAACGAGCACCTATGTTGGAGTGAAAAAGGTTGCACTCACATGGTCAAAAAGCCAAGATAGTGCAGTTAGTCATGCTAGTGTAAGCCATGAATGGATTCCCATTTCTTTCCATTGAATGTCCTAAAGCATAAGTTGACAATGTACCGTGATATATATATATATATATATATATATATATATATATATATATATAAAGAGAGAGAGAGAAGAAAAATCTTGACTAACTTTAGGGTTTTAACGAGGGGGCATATGCCTATAAATCGTGTTGGGTGAGATGAATTTGTGTTATATCTTAACAAGTTTATGTAAAAAAAGTATTTTACTTATATCCGATTCGTTTATTGATTCGTGTCTAACGAATTATGTCATATTGGGTTCGTGTTGTATATAACCGACATGTAAACGAGTTGTATCGTGTATTTCTTTTGATTGATTTCACCTATACTCAATTCGTTTTTTAGTCGTATCGTGTCGGATTTATTTATTTATCAAACAAATGATTTAAAAAAGATCTAAATTTTTTAATTTTATTTCACATTAACCAGTCTTATAACAGTTCCTCCTTTCTAGTAGTTTTTTAAGGTTTGGTCGGCCATTATAAAACTAAAAGAAAGAATCAGAAGATGGATAACGAGAGCAATTTTGATGGTTGGGTTTGAGTTTGTCCTGGCCTCATAAATTGTTGGTTAGCCTTTCTAGGCTTTTTTTTGATTTGTAAGAACCCCAGTGGCCGAGGAATCAATTCTTGCAGTGCGAATGCAAGATTTAATAAAAATTAAGGCGAATTGTACATTATACCGTAAATGTATTAAAAATATTGTAATATATCATTAACTCTTGTACAGAGAGGCAAACACGGGTAGCCTCTAGGATACATTAGTTTACCCAAGTACCTGTTCTATAAATACTGTCATTGTTCGCCTCTACTAGTCTATAGTATACACATCTACCTGTTTAAGTTAGACAATTCGGTTGGTACGAGAATCTTTCTCGACTCCATCTACATTACAAATTTTTTGCCTAAAGATTAGTACTAGTGGTTAATAGGTAGCTCAACTCCTTTCATCTCATCCATTTATTCTACTTATTCATTGGAAATGCTAGTACCAAACACATGTTTCAAAGTCAACCTATCATTTAACTCCTCACCTTCGTGCTTCAACACAACATTTGGGTTATGATTGGTGATATTGATGTAGGAATTGAATCATTTAAAATCATTGGCGAAAGACATTTGAATTTTTTACTTGAAAACAGAAACTATACCGATACAATTTTTCTTGTAAAATTGAATTACTACAACTTAAATCTGATGATGACGAGTGTTGATCGATATTTCCTTAACAAAAAAAGATTACGTCAATAGTGATGGATGTGAGACTAAAATATCTTCAAATAAAACTGTTTTGATGCCTGATTTTGTTAATTAAATGATGATGCACATTAGACCCAAATACTAAACTATGATACAAATTGACCTATGTAATCCACTATGATTAATTGTTATGAAAGAATAGGTCATACTCTGGCTTTATGTCTCCAGAGTATAATATCTGTGGGGAACACTGACTAAAAAATGATTAAAAGGGGACCAATCCTTTTGCAAGTGCTGGTTTTGCACAAACTGTCCGTACACTTCTATCTTGTTCTTGTTTTTTTGTTTCGATGGATAGAATTGTTTGGGTCAATTTTTACGAACTTCGATTAATTTTTTATTTGATCCGGTCAAAAATAGATCTTTTATGTCGGGATTAAGGTATTCATAAAAAATAAATTCTTTACATAAAGTACAAATTTGTCCATGTTGTCATGGAATTATATACTTCTATATTCTATTGAGCCAGGGAGATTGGCCAACAGGGAGGCTACAGCAACAAAAAAGCAAGGACAGGTTGGTTTCTTTATGTAACGTCAAGAAAAAGAAAAGAGCATATTCCCCTTGCCTTGGAAGAAAATAAAGAATAAAGGTTAACTTGGTTAATTATATCTAATAGTAAGTAGATTCTCATTAGAGATTTTTAAGTGCGGGTCTCGGTGCAATGATCGAATTATTCTATTGTGATCCATGTGGTAGTGCGATACACGAAAATAGCCTCTCCATACAGCAGTATGAGACTATATATTCTTTTTAAATCCCAGAATATCGGAAAGCTCATGTAGTAATCTGTCTCTTTTTTTTGTGAGTAGCTTCTTAGTTCTTATCTATCATGTAGTTGGTGGGTCTATGTTTAGAGTCATGACTGATGAATTCACAAACAATCACTATGCTATCAGAGCCAAAATGGTTTTGAATAATAGAAAGTGTGGAACAGACAAACTCTCTGTAGTGAAAGGAGTGAAATGAAGGTACTGCTTGTGACATAGTGCATTTGCTAAGCAGAGAAAGAGTGTCCAGTAGGAAGGCTAAAGTTGATCTGATTGTTAAACAATTTCTGAGATGTAGAGGGACTGGATGGCAAATTGAGGGATTATCTTAAATTGTCTGGATTAGGAGTGCTTGATGGTCCAATTCTCAATGAGAATTCAGACAGGATCAACATAGGTTTTGCCTCCAAGACTTGAGAGCTAGTACAGTAAAGCAATAGAGAGGGGATAATTCTTTATGCCCTAAAATTTGTATTAAATTAATTGTAATTATTGGATCAATGATAAAATCTATTGATCTAACGAGTATAAGTGATTTAATGTAAGTTTTGATGCAATTAACATTGTTCATATAGAGGTGAGGGATTTGTCAAAAAAGAAATTTTTTGTACTGGATCAATATTTATTGAATTTGTGAGTATTTTTACCATTACTATATGTATTTTTATCACTCTTTTAGTACCGAAAAAATTTGATAAATATAGGTACCACCACAGTAATAAAAATATTCACAAATATAATAATTTTTTTAATACTGAAAAAAAAGTGATAAAAATAGTAATCACAATAATGATAAAAAAAACCCACAAAAATAACAAATTTTGTGATTGTAAAATGACTTACAAAATTAAGAAAATACATATTAAAATAATAAATTTTAGACGTACGGTAATTTTTTTTTGGATTCCGTGGTCAAGTCCTAGTGTGAAAGCACAAAAAGAGGATAGGAAACAAAGCAATAAATCATGGAGGCCTGTTTGTGGACATTACACTGTTGTTTTTCAAGGATTATTTGGAAAAAAATAAAATAGTTCTTCAAATATGATTCTAATTATTGCCTTTCAGCTTCACATATCTATATGCCGGAAACCCCACTATATCTAAGTCGAGATCGAAGCTAAAGGTCCGCCACGTATAGGGACGGAATCAAAAATTTTATTTAGGACACTATAATTTTTTTTCTCTTAACTTATCACACTATATAATAATATATTTATATTTATTATATCATATTTGATACACGTAATCCATTTAACATAAAAAAGTTTAAAAAATAATATATATTGTATATGTATAAAAAATAACTAATTATTACCATTGTGAAAAAATGGAGCTAAGCTGATTGTCATTTTTATGATTAAAAAATATCAAATTTTCACTAACAGTTCATTAAATTTATTTAATAAACAATGTTCCAACACATTATCATTGAGATATTATCATAGTAAAATTATTAAACTAAAATTTAAGGGCTAAAAAATTGAAATAAAAAATATATTTATAATTTTTAGGGTATATAAATATAAGTATACATATAATATTTTGAAAAAAAATTGAGGGTGTCCCCGGGTCCACCCTCATTACTGTGTAGCTTCGCCCATTTGCTTGCTTTGACGTTAAAAAAAAAATTAGTCCTATCGACCTACTATAATTATAGAAATTCAAACTTAAACATTGAATAAAAAAATTAAAATTCTTACCCATTATATTAAGCACTAGGTGATACTGTACCAACCGCTCGGTAATATCAAAGTATTCGACCATTTCAAAATGCTCCTTTCCTGGATTATTTTTCTCGTTATAATGTGTGGCAGAGTAAAAGGCAGAATAATTGTAGTGGCATATAAAGTTCCCCACGTCACTCAGCCGGGAAAAAAAAAAAAAAATTAGAGGGAAAAAAGAAAGCTTCCTGGTCTGTGCAATAGAATACCCGTGGGTGCACCTTTTTCCACCTATAAATTCACCCCCACTCCTTTCAATTCTCATTCATGTTCTCCCTTTCATTTCATTTCATTTCCTTCCCCTGTTTCTTCTCTGTTCTTACTCTGTTTCTCCTTAAATTTTCACCTCCTCTACAGATAACAACCATGTCCGCAAGTGTTTACCAAGGGTTGCAATCATGCCTCGAGCCCAGGCTCGTCGAACCTTGTGTTCTGAGGCACAAAATGTCTCCACCAAAATCCAACTTCTACCAATCAACTCCATGGCCTCAAAAGCCAAACGTCTTGCGACCAGAAGAAAACAAAGAAAACTCTCACAATGACAACAGCAGCAACAGCAACAATGGTGGTGTTGATGGTGAGAGCAAAAGCAAAAATGGTGATTCGGGTGGTTGGAGTTTCTTACAAGCTCTAACCAACAAATCATACAATTTCAAAGAAGGTAATGGACCTAATGGTAATGACACCCAGAAAGTCTATGTTCACCCTCTTGTGAAGCGCTCCTCTTCTACTCTGAGTCCAAAGAGTCTGGAAATGTGCACTGAAAGTCTGGGAAGCGAAACGGGTAGTGACAATAGCGAAAGCATGGACCAATTGTCTTCTCTTTCACTGGAGACTGAGAATTTTCGTGGTCTGCAGCGATCAAATTCAAGAGAATTCTCTAAGAAACTGAATCGTAGTGGTAGTTTTCCACCTCCCCTGACTTCGATCAGTGGCTCTGATGGCGTACGAGTAAGGCCTTACCGCGAAGGTGGTCGGTTAGTTCTTAAAGCGGTAAGTGTTCCTTCTTGTAATGGTCACTTTCAAGCTGATCGTGTCAATGGCCGCCTGAGGCTTTCTTTGTTAAAGGATAATTCTATTGATCTAGACCATGATGTGGTGGTAGCTGAGAACTCAGAAACTGTGTCCAATGAAGACCATGATGAAGAAATTGAAAAATCTACCAATTTTGCTGAAGCTGAGGTTGAAGAGAAGGACTATGATGAAGATGATAATGATGATGATGATGATGATGGTGATAGTGATAGTGATAGTGATGTGGGTGATGGTGAAACTGAGGATGATGATGATGATCATGGTGGTTACTGGGGAGAGGACATGGAGGGAAATGGAGGGAAAGTTGGGGGTGAAGTTGGGATTGGAGACCTTGCAAGGCCAAGCAGGTGCAAGGAAGGAGGGAGTGGGAACAAAGAGATGGCAATTTGGAGGCCTTGTTGGGTAGCTACTTCTTGAAGCTCATTGCTTGAAAGTTGGGACCTCTCTCTTTAATTTACTATTGCCGTTATTATTAATGTATTCCATTTTGGTTTCACTCATATTTGGTAGTTATTATGGTTATTGGACATCATCCACTATTCTCTCTCTAGTCTCTCCCCTCCCCTCTCTCTCCCTCTCTCTCTATATATATTAATGGATGGTGTTGGCCAATTGTCGTTTACATGTCCCGTAATACCCAAATTAATGTGATGATAATGGTGTTCTAGTGTGTCTTCGTGTCTTCTAGACTGTTTTGGAAGTGTTTAAGTGTCAGCACGGGAGTTTGAAAGGTGCACGCCCGTAATGCTAGTCTCTAACTTCTTCCAAGTTCAAAAGTTAGCACCATCAGCATGAATTCACGTAAGCCAAATGTCAAAGTAATGGATCAAATAGAGAAAATACTAATATTATAAAAATTATTCAAACTTAATAATAAAACACCAACTCTGGAACCTAGGAGACTTGTCTCCTAGGCCTCAATGTCAATCCGACTTACTATTACACTATAAAGCAAAAATGCAAGCAAACAAAACAAAATTGAATATTTTTACGGGCCTAGTCATCACTTTCATGTCTTCACATTCCGGCCAACACTAGGGTGGCCAATGAAAAATTACATACAATTTTATGAATAGTTTAAATTTTAAGACCCTTACCCTGTTCTCCTTTTGAGTACGTCAGGACGACGAACAGACTGTCGGTCTACGAGGGTGAAGAGAATTTCTCAAATTCTCGGAAAAATTATTTTTAAACTTTGTTCCACACCTGCTTTGGGGCCTGGATTTTCTTTACAACTCGGGTGTGTTAGTAGAGAGTGAGATTCATTTTAATATGTTTTTTTTATAAAAAAAAAAATTGGTATATTACCTGCAGCAAATTCTAATGGATGATTTGTTAAATAAAAAATGAAAGAAAAAAAGTAATTGGAGGATATGCAGAACCCATTAGTTGCGTAACTACCAGGGGTAGGTCCCATGAGAGAACCATGCACTGACATCACAGCAGATAAATAAAAAAACTTGGAGTGCATAGTGCATGTGTGCCATTCACTTTTAACCTGTTATCAGCATATTTACAGACAAAGGCACTAAATAGCTGACCAGTAGACCCAACATTTTTGCCTTATTCTTAGCTACATGCTTTTCTGGTCAAATCACCAAAACACCCTCCAAAATCGACCATCCCTCGTGCAGATACAAGCTTAAGATGGTCATTTGCAAGGGTGGTCCTCAATAGATTGTGTGGGTATCAGGTGAGATTTTTCTAGCAAAAATTTATACCTCATGATTTTGAATTTTGATAATTTTTTAAGGTCAGACTATGAGGAGTTTATCTTTCATGAATACTTTAGTCCCAACGTGTACAACCTACTTTTGATTGGATTAGAAAAAAAATTAATCGAAAAACGCATAAACTAGTTTAAACATCCCTAACCGTTAAAAAAAAAAGAAGTTAAAATTTAAATTTTTTGCAATCAACTCAACCTAAACTCTGGACATTCAGACTTGCGTCTTTAACTATTGATCAAACACTGAACCAACAGGTGGGTGTTGGTGACAAGGTATTTTTGGTACTTTGGCAATGGCTAGCTTGATGTGATAGGAGAGTGGGAAAATTCCCAAAAAGAGGAGGGCAGCGTCCCAGCCTGGAGGTAAGGCTGCCATGCATTAAGGTTTCTGAGAGAGAGAGAGGGGGGGGGGGGGGGATAAGCACAGCCAACATATGCATATACATCATTGTGTCTCTGTGCTTGGTCCATTAACCATAATCTCCCTGACCACATGGTACATATCATATATATATATATATGCAACAGCTAATATGTATAGCCCTATCTTAGGCCAATTCAGCATATATATGTCTCTCCATTTTCACTCCCAGACAATGCTTGTAATGAAGATGCTTAAGAAAAGATGGCCTCAACTCCTAAATGTCCTTCTTTATATAGACATGACTATAAGTGTTTGGATTCAAAAAAAATTCTCTGGTCAATGCATATGATACCCAACCCCTCCATTATCGGTGCCATTGTCAAGGATTTACGCTAGGGTCAGTTTGTTTAGCAAGAGAATGATAAAAAATACAAAAAATAATTTTTTTTAAAATTTTTATGTGTTTAGTTAGCATAAAATGAAAAATGATAGAAAAAATAATTTTTTTTCATACTTGAATTTTCTCACAACTAACCAACTTTTTTTCTTGTAAAAAATACAAGGAAATGCAAACAAATTGTAATCTATAACTAACTTCTCATTTTACCCTTATTTTTTTTAAATATTTTATTAGTTATTAATTTTAAAAAATATTGGTAGGGATTTGATTAATCATATAATTTGGTCCAAAAATCTTTGTACTAATGTTTGTCCTAGAATTCGATTACGAGCCATTTTTTTTTAAAATTTTTTAACTTTCAATTATAATACATATTTTTTTCTTCTTTAAACAGATTTAATATAATTAAAGATAATTTAGACAATTAAAAAAAATATATTATAACTTTACTTTCTTTCAAACAATATAATGAAATTTTTTTAAAACTTTCTTACAATTTTTCATCATAACTAAATACATGCATGAAAATATATTTTTTATCATTTTTTTTCTTTTATTTCACTTTCTATCATTTTCACTTTCCATTATTGTTTTCTTCCTAACCAAACGGACCCTTTAATGTTTATTTGTTTAGTAAGACAATGGTAAAAAATGCAAGAAAAATAAATTTTTAAAAATTTTATGTGTTTGGTTAACATGAAATGAAAAATGATGGAAAAAATAATTTTATTTCATACTTGAATTTTTTCATAACTAACAAACTTTTTTTCTTGTAAAAAATAATAGAAAATGCAAGAAAAAAATAATAGAAAATGCAAGAAAGTTGTGATGTATAACTAATTTTCCGTTTTATCCTTATTTTTCTTAAAATATTTTATTGGTTATTAATTTTAAAAAATATTGGTATAGATTTGATTAACCATATAATTTGGTTTAAAGACCTTCATGTTGATGCTTGTCCTAAAATTAAGTTACGAGCCATTTTTTTAAAAAAAAAAATTTTAACTTTCAATTATAATACATATTTTTTCTTCTTTAAACCAATTTAATATAATTAAGAATAATTTAGACAATTAGAAAAAAAATTTTGTACCTTTATTTCTTTTAAACAATAGAATAATTTTTTTTAAAAACTTTCTTGTAATTTTTTCATCTTAACCAAATACATGCATAAAAATATATTTTTTTATCATTTTTTTCTTTCACTTTACTTTCTATCATTTTCATTTTTCTTCATTCTTTTCTTCCTAAGCAAACGGATCAATGGAAAAAGATGAACGTAAGAAATTGAGATCGCATTGCCTAATTTGTAATGAAGTTTTTATAACATTCTCATATCAATCAAGGGCACGATATCAACATCGTATACCTTTTTGGTTTAAATGTAATGACCTCGATGCAATTAGTGAATTATTAATTTTGATTCAACGTGTCTGCGTGAAAACTAAACTAAATTATAGATTTGACAAGGTTTTCGAATGTTTAAGAACATCGAGCTAGATGGAAAGGCTTTGGAAAAAAAATTCATAATCCTTATTTCCTTGTCGGTAATACTATTTTAGGGTAATTTAGAATATATGTCTGTCTCAAACAAAGATGCTAAATTAAGCAAAGATGGCCTCAACTTCTAAATGCCTTTCATTATTGGTGTCATTGTCGAGAATTTAGTAAGAGATTAATAGAATAGATCGATACATGTAAGAAATTTAAGAATGCATTGCCTAATTTGTCTTGAAGTCTATGTAACATTTCCAAAAATAGTATTAGTCTCACATGTTGATGTCAGTCCAGGTTATATTTATACTGTATCTTCATATAGTTCAAGGTAATTATTTCAATGCAACTTTAATAATGATGCCCATCTTTAAAGCTTTGTAAAAGTAAGACTAGCTCAAGCGATAATAAAGAAGAGTTGTAAATCTAGATGTCATAAATTCGAATTTTTGCAATTTTTTGAGGTCCGACCATGAGATATTTATCCCTCACGAATACCTTTCTTCCGATGTGAATAGTCTATCTTTGACCAAATCGAGAAGGGAATTAGTCAAAATACACGTAAACTGACCCGAATAATCCTAACTGTTGAATAAAAAAAAACAGATTAATGTTTACATATGAACCTTTAGTTGAATTGTGGTTAGGTATTTGTTTAATTACATGCATGTATGCCTATTAAGATTCACCCGATTGTCCCCACTAATTTTACAAATAAGACAACGGTGTCACTTTGAATTTATTAAATTCAATGGTTAATTGTAAATTGCACTCCAATCGTTCAAATTTTAATTTGTATCGTTAAAACTTAAAAATCTTAATTTATACATTCAAAAATATAAATTTGTATCAATGCACATATGAAGTTAACAACCATCAGTTTGCTGTTTAAAACTAGTTGGTAAGTTATACGTAGACCCCCTTAAGTTTGTTACTTAATTATTTGGACCTCTCACATTTAGAATATTACTCGAACACCTCCTGACGTTTGTACAAGTGTAACACATAACCCTCTTCGTTGATATCTGTTAATATAATTGTTAAAAAACATGATATTATTCTAATAAAAATTATAATTTTCATACGATCTTTTATTTTGTGAACCCGTTATACTCTAAAATTCAAAATCAAGTTTATCATTTGAATAATTAATATAATACAAATATTTATCTAATGTTTTTTATATTCAATGCAATGCATCACTTGGACAGAATTATTTGGATGCCTAATTGGAGAATATTTTTAATCATATTTGGAATCTCAGGGGATGTAAATGTGATATTTCAAATATGAGGGGTCTGGGTGATTAAGTGATAAACATGAGAAGGTTTAGGTGTAATTTATCTTTTTAGTTTTAGATGACAAACTTACAACTGTTAACTTTATGTGCGCATTGATATATATTTCTATTTTTGAAGGTATAAATTAAAATTTTTTTATTGTCAAGGGTATAAATTAAAATTTGAACAACCTTTCGAGATACAATTTACAATTAACCCTAAATTCAATCTGATCCTC